GGGGGGGGGGGGGACGGGCAGATCCAGGCCCCCGTGGTAAGGGACAGAGTGAGGCTGGAGCAGGAGCAGGGGCAGGCACTGCCCAGCCAGGGCAGGGTATGGGACAGAGCTGCAGGTGGCTCAGGGGGCAGCTCCCATCGCTGTGCGCACCCCAGGGAAGGGATGGGGACATGTGTGGGGCAAGGGCAGGCTGTGCACTTGGGGCCAGGGGCTGTGCTGACCTCTTCTCGGTGGGGGGGCTGGGCCCGGGGCTGTGCTTGGGGCAGGCACCAGTGGTGCAGGGGGCAGGGTCTACAGGGTGGGCTACAGCCACCCCAAACTTCACCATAGCCACCCTGTAACCCCATCCCACTGCTCACCCTGTCCCCATCCACCCCGAGCGCAGCCCCAGCCCAGACCCCCCACACCAGGAAGAGGCTGACACAGCCCCAGCCCCAAGCACGCAGCAGGCAGCCTGCCCTCACCCCATTCACAAACCCGGGGGGCACACGCCCCCTATGTCCCTTCTCTGGGGTGCACGCAGCAGTGGGAGCTGCCCCTGGATGAGCCACCCACGGCTCCGTCCTACACCCTGCCCCACTCCTACTGGGCAATGCCTGCCCCAGCCCCACTCCCTCGCTTACCATGGGGGCCCCAATCTGCACCCCCCCACACACACACCCCTTCCCCCACACAGACTTACTGGTAGATGCTGATCTCCAAGCTGTTGGGCTGCACTCCCGGCTGCATGCATGCTGCAGCTGTGGACATGCACGTGGCATTTACCAGTGATATTATTGGCCACATCGGCCAACAAAAGCCAATTGCCGATAATGTCAATTTTCCTTTTATCAGTGCCAATACAATATGGACCAATGTATTGGTGCACCTCTACTAGCTTGCGTAAAGTATGAAGATCGAAGCCACCTTCATACAGAGGGGTTGCTATTGGAGACTTCAGAGCCCATCATGCAGCACTCCATCTTGAGCAGAATGGCTTCCACTGGACTGAGGAGAGCAAGGTCACTTAGGAGCTGTTGTCTTTGCAGGCACTGTCTCCATATGTGCGTGCTTAGCACCAATATAGAGCTTCTAATCTTCATAATACTTTATAAACAGGAGTTACTTAGGCCTCCTGCAGGATGGGGAAGTACATTTACCTCCATCTTGCAAACAGGGAAATTGAGACACAGAGAGGTGTAGTCACTTATGCAAGGCCCCTCAAAAACTGTGCACCAGAGCAGAATGGGGTCCTAGGGGCTGGTGGTATCATAGAGGTATAATATCTCTGCATTAGTGCAGATGGGATGGACTGTCTGCAGGAAGGGCAGCACAAATGAATGGAAAAGGAAGCTCCCATGAGAATAGTCAATAGCTGATACTGCTCACTTGCTTGCAGAAGTATATTTGGTTTCTCAACATTTCCACTGGCACAAGCAATTAATCTAGAGTCTGCAGTTGCATGAAATCCTGGGGGCAATGGCTGTTCCAGCAGAGGCCTTAACCTCAGAAGAAATGGCACAATTGGCCCTCAGAGAATGGAAAACCACTAAATAGCTCAAAGAAGGGAAGAAGAGATTCAACACACACAGCCTGCCTCAGATTTTTCAAGTAGACCATTGCTGATCTTAAATGATTTCTTTCCAACAGGTTGAATCTTACACATCTGATCCCCTGGTCCACCATGGAGGAATGAAAGTCTCCTTCGTCATCCAGCTGATGAATGCCATTGCCAGAATAGAGCGGGCCCTGCCCAAATTGACCCTGCCAATCTTGGTCCTGCATGGCTCACCCGACAAGCTCTGTGACATCAAAGGATCCTATCTCCTGATGGACACAGTGCTGAGCCAGGATAAAACACTCAAGGTCAGCTTGCGTTTTTCTCTGGGAAGGGGTTGTATTGCTAGTGTTGGCCTCTGCTTTAGTCACCATGGCCTAAGGCAGGGGTCAGTAACCCCTGGCACACATGCCAAGCATGGCACACAAGGCCATTTTGCTCAACACACCACTGCCAGCCCAGGCTCTAAGCAGCTGCTGCCAGCCATAGAGCCCAGGCTGCTCCCAGCAGGCAGCTGGGAGGCTGCAAGCTCCATGGGGCAGCTGCAGCCGGGAGGCTGCAAACAGCTGCTCCAGGCTCCAGCATGTTGGCACTCTGGCACCTTCCAAGGTAGACATTGTGGGTTTTTTGGCACCCTGGTCAAAAAACATTGCCTACCTCTGCTCTAAGGCTTTGAGGGAGCTCCATTCAGCCCAGAAGTTAGCACTGAGGGAGGGAGCATGGAAGTCACCTATTCCTCAACCTGGGATGTGCTGGGTACTCTCAACTCCTCTGGTACTTGGCTTATTCTAGGATGGATTCTTATCCAGGTAACCAGTGACCCTGAAAATGTGTAAACAATGAAGGCTGCTTTAGTGCCAACCCCACCTCACACCCCATTGCATAAAGGTACAAAGAGGCCTTTCCAGAGCACAACAAAACAAAAGCCATTTCACATCTGCTCATTTGGCGAGAGCACACAGCTGATTAAGCAATTGTTAGCACATGAATGAGCCTGAAAAGGAGATGGGGAGACCAAGCAAAAAGCTTTTGTCCTCAGAAAAATAACTGGCTACACTGGGCATCAAAGGAGTAAAATCACACCTGGGATGGTGGAAACATCCCCCATTGCGGCATAGCTCCAAGGGCATGATTAATACTTCTTGCCTCTGCTTGGGTTGCCTGACTAGATTTTGGCTGCTTGGGATGGAGCTGTGCAAACATTTGCAACCACTGCTCAAATGATGAAAGCAGCCCTCAGAAAAGACCCATGAGCTTCTCCACATGTTGGAGATACACTGCATGGGAATGAAAAGAAGGAGAATGCAGGGCTTACTAGGGGGAAGGACGTAGACGGTTGCAGTTCCCTGGCTAAAGGGCAGGAGGCAACAGGATGTTCTGCATGGTTAGGATGAGGTGCTGGGGACTCAGTCACTGTGATGATGATGATTCAGTGGCATTAACACCACTCCATTTGCAGCAAAAAGAATGGAGCAGCAAAGGGCAGAGATGGAAGTCATGGGGGCAGGCAGCTGGAAGAGCAGATGTCAGGGGTGGGAATAAGGAGGGATCAAACAGTGGGGGACTGTTGATTGCCATTGGGGATTGAGGTAAGGGGAGGAAGAAATAGAAAGTGCACAGGATAGGCAGATAGCAGCCTGAGGGAGAGTGTGGGAATAAATGAGGGACATGGAGGAAAGAGGGAGCAACCAACGATGGGTAGGTAAGCCGGGGCCAGGTGTAGCAACAGATGGGCAGAAAAGAGTATAGAGGAACATGGGAAAAGACAGTGAGGTGGGGAGCACATGGGAGCCAGGATGGAGGGAGACACAAACATATTGGATGTGCAGAGGGTGAAGGAATGGGCGCTGTGGGGTGGAGGAAGAGGCAGTAGTAAGAGTAGCGGAGATGGGAGGCAGGTCTTTGTGCTCTGAGCATGGAAAGCAGGGTAGGAAGTGGGCGTGCTTCATTATTTTCAGATCAAAAGAAGTCCAGTTCCTTTTATCCCATGCATGGAATTCAACTGACTTAATGCGAGAGGGAGAGCTTGAATGCATTTGGCCAGATATTGCCAAGCAGTTAGATACTAGCTCACCTATAAATAATGCACAAAAGCAGTCTTCCAAGGGAGCCTTTCCATAGTTTCATAGTTAATCGGGTCGGAAGGGACCTGAGCAGATCATCAAGTCCCACCTCCTGCCATGGCAGGAAAGA